TATTTTATTTTAGAAATTGCATGTGAAACCGCTTAGCCTTTAAACTACTTATTTGTGGTCCCTTCATGGGAATATATATTACCTGTTGTGTGTTCTGTGGTTGTTGGATGAGATGCGGATGATGTTGAAAATGTTAAACCAGTTGTTTCTGAAAAATAAGTGACATAACGTACTCGCGATATGATGTAATCCATGCAATGATAGATATTCAATTGTGCTTTTAAGAATTTGAGTGTGAAGATTAAACGCATATCATATTTGTGGTGTTTGAACTGAGGTAGTAGTACATCAAAAGCTACACATACATACTCCACGGTTATTTGGTAGCTATTAAGATATAAGCAGGTACATCGTTTCTCTTACTGTACAACGCAGGCATATAATTCATATCGAAATGATTTAAACAATGCATTACAAGAAATCACGCGTTCTGTTTTTTTTTTTTTTTTTTCTATTATTTTATTTTAGAAATTGCATGTGAAAAGTATCGCAGTATCGTATTTCTGTGGTTAGGATTGCATAACACAACAAAAGGCACGATATATTTCAGTATATGTACAAGCAGCTGAACAACCTTGCATCACAAAAACACATTCAATATATAGAAACATACATGGTGATCAGAGCTATCACTAAACGATGACAATAAATGACGTTTTCAAAGCATTTGCGGGATAATGGAATAAGTGCAATGCATCTAGTGTACAACGTAAGCTATAACATAGTGCAGATAGAGTTAAGGCAGTGACAACTTTAAGTAACAGTTTATTTTCCCAAATGATGATAATTGTAATAGAACATATATGTCTTCAATGTTTGACACGGTTACTATATTGTATGTTGCATTGTAAACAGATTTGACCACTATATCATCAAATAGGTGCCAACAGTGCTTCATGATAGTTAATAAATGCTAGTGCGTTTTGTCATAATTCAAATATACTTAAACGGTCTAGTAAGGATAATCAAAACAATACTCGTACTGAATGCAGGTGCTCGGGAAAAATCAAATTGTGCAGTGTCTTATATACCTGTGATACCAGTTATGATTTGGTTCCAATGAGGTTCTGTAACGGCTGTTTCAAATGCGTCCAAGGATGAACAAATATTAATAGTATAAAGCAAAATCAATCAAAATGGCCCAAATGGTCATATTTATTTCATCACTCTTATAGTATGTATATTGTTAGAATTGCTTGGCAGTCTTTAAATATTCCATACACTCGCTTACAGAGGTGGATGTTATTGTTGAAGTTGTGGATTATTCAACTTGATATCATTAAGTAAAATGGTGAGTGTTGATTCTAGTTTATCGTTCTTTAAACGGTAACAAGCGAAGATATTACAAACTTTTTGCGAAACACAGATTCGCACTTTTGTGAATGCAATGCCTTATCGGAATCTATATATACAAGAACAGTGAGACAAATGTCTAAGGCAGTGGTGTTTACACTTAGATTCAAATAATACTAAATCAACTAAAGCCTAGACTCCAGGTGGCCTATAAATATATTTCCATATGATGGTGCTATCTTGGTCCCTATGGCAGTACCATTGAGTTGTAGATAGTGGTCTCCGTTTCATGTTATGTTGTCTGAGATAAGCACTAACTTTAGAAGGTCTACCAGACTATGTGTTAATGTTTTTACTCCCCTGTGTCCCATGGTGCACGGCGAACTAAAATTTTGATAGGACGACTTTTCTTTGTGCGAGTTGACGATTTGGGGGACTATTTGACCATATTCAAAATTATATTTTTGTATAGATATATTTTTGCATTAACTAGTGTTTTTAATCAAATTACTTTTTATTGTAACTACACATACATTTAACACTTTTTTACAATTATTTTTTTGTATTTTTAATGAAACAATTCCTCATTTAGAACTTGGTCGAGATGAACCGGTAGACTATTATCCTCAGAGTATGACGTGCAATTGCTGCCGTTGCGATCACATATATTTTCAGTGTCTAGAGTGCAAAACAAACCTGGATTTATGTAAAACATTTTTGATATTTTAATCACCATCTTATGTACAACAACTTCGGATGGGTTTTTTAAAGGTCCTTCGGCCGTATTTTGTATTTGTTTTATATTTCATGTATATAATTCAATTTATGCAACATTTGTGTCTTGATAAAGGGACAGGATGTCTCGAAGATTTCGATTGTCCGTACTGTTGTTATTACTTCATTGATCATATATTTATCAAAAAAATATGCATCCAATGAACATTTGATTGTTAGGAACCAGTACCAATATTGGATCCACATCGATCCACATATATTCATTTTATATTCTTATGTATCTAAATGCTAAATGGGAAAGCACTGTTATCTAACAAAATAAAAACGGTATCGGGAAATTTGTCCTTTTTTCTTATTTGTTTCTATTTTATGAATATTAATATATATATCGATGGCGATTTCTTCATGGTCGTCCGATAATTTCCCGTTCAAAAAACTGTGTACATGCATGATCTTATAGAAGGTGACAAACCTTTAATTAAATATGTTGCTCTTTTGGTCTTTTGGTGAGGTATTATCGTACGATTATCAGAAAACCAATACGTTGAAGTCGAATATATCTATCTGCATACCCAAAATGGATAACATGCTTCAGTATCAAGAATTAAATGTGTTTGTCGTTTAAGTCATAACAATGTAGCTACAATACATTTCAATGAAATGTACGTTGGTCCCTATTTGACCCATTCGAATAGGCAGAATTTCAAGAATAGTTATAATAAGTTCGAAAATTAAATTCAATTGACAGATAAATGCTTTCACACATATCATCGGCCTTTTTCTGGAAACACGAACATGATGATGATGCACATTGAATACAGACCTGTTGTTCTTGTCGTAGGAGTGGTTGTGGTAGAAGTTGGTGTTGTAGTTTGACTGGGGTAGGTTGAGAAATGAACAGTTGGGGATGTTGATAGCAAGGAAGCAGATGACGTAGTTTCCGCTGAAGGTGTCGTAACAGAAATAGTGGTCGGCATTGTACTTGATGTCGTTGACACTACACGTTAAAAGACAATACAGCTAGAATTGTGAATACAACGAATTATGCTTTAGAAATAATTATATTCATTTATAACAGATTTACTTTAAAGGGATATCCATTAATACATGGATTTCTATTGTGCCTTAATTTCTATCAATCATATTTATTCACGGCCCAAATACAATCTACTTGATTAAGTTAGTAATTTTGTATTAGAACGCATTAGTATACGTGTATATACGAATTGACAATAATAAATTGTTCACAAAATTTGCTCTTGTCATTTTAGGTATAAGCACTGAACATTGTGATTTCATTTATAAAATAAATATTAAGCAAAGTTAACGAATAGTTTAGTTATGACTATGTAATGGGTACGTTCGTGACATTTGAGCCTAAAGGATATGAATGATTATAAGCGTTCAATGGTTGATAAATTATTTCTTACAATTTACGAATGTGACTTGAAAGCAGTTGAAAGTTGATATCAGAATGACTAAGTATGCACAAAAAATTCAGCATGTTCATGGGAGTGATGTTTCTCATAATACTATATAATGCAGATTGCCGGTACATATTTGTATTGTTTTGATATTGCGAGTAAAATAAAAATCAGTATACATACCTTCTGCACATACAAATATGTTGAATCTGATAGTCATCGCTGCATCTTCTTGACCATTGAATGTGATTTTCAATTTCTTAACCTTTGCATTTTGGTTAAAGACAATTTTCCCATTGACGTCCTAAGAAATGTGATAAAGCAGCATGCGTTTCATGATGAAATGGAAAACAAATATCTATATAATATAAATTAAACGGCTAGATTGCCAATATAATAGTTAAAAGAAGATAAAAATGAATAATCAAACAAATAATTTTAACATGTTCAATAGAACCAACATTATTATGATAATTCACAAACCGTGTCTAAATACGTGAATGAAACTTACCAATTTCGGCAGCTCGTATTTGTCACCATCTTCTATCTCCATAGTGACGGAATTTATGTTGGTATCGGCAAATTTAATTATTTCGAAATATTCGACGGAGACTTCACTTTTGAATTCAACGTTTACGACGAACGAGCTTACGCTCACATTATAACCGTTCGGAGAACCCATTTGTGAAATATCGTTAGGTGATAGTTGGATAGTGGGTGTACCGCTAGTAATGCTTGGTTTGTTAATCGGGTCATCCATGCTGTTAGTTTTTATGCAAGTCTTTTGAGTGGTGGTGCTAGCTGTAGTTGTTTGTGAGAAAATGAAGCATAAATTATGAGAAGAAAGTGATTACATCCAAGAAGTCAATTATGCAATTAAAATTTAAATTTAGATCTCAAAAGATAATAATAATTTCTGGTATAAAATTCACATATGGCGTTATTTGTCGACTCGAAATGTTGACTTACCCTCAGTTGATGTTACCGTTGTCTGAGTTGTTGAAGCTGGAATATGAAATAACGAAATGATATCAAAATGGTGTCTATTTGGCATGTAATTTCAATAACAACAGACATGCATATTTCTTGATAAATAACAGTACTAAACATCTGTGACAAAAACAATCAAATCATATCGCTTGAATATCTACCCATATATAAGAACAGAATTCATTGTGCGAGGTATTAGTATGACTTGCAATTTATTGCAGATATGTATATATATGGGAAGATAGACAAACAACTTATTTACGCATGGATATACAATCTATTGAAAATATGTGATTCGGAAGAGTTCTTAACATCATCACATAAGACAATGTTTTCATATTTAGAATGGAAAAGGTTAGGTTAAATATGTCGGGTTAGGTGAGTAGGAAGGCAATCCATCATCAAAAGGAGAGGAGGTTCAATTTCCATTGGCTGATTGACAAACGAAACTCTGTAAAAATAGCAAATCGGTAAAATTATTGCATTAAATATCCCAGTATGTCATTGTTTGATATATAAACATAATATACATGTATTTTTCAAGACACACATTGAAATTCAATCATACTGAACACTAATTTTGACATTGGCTTGAAAGTAACCAAAACCACGCGCTGGTAACCGGATGAGTGCATCCTGTACATTTTTACCTGTTTCATAGCAAACTTCCAATTGGACGTTATCAAGCGTAGGCTGACCATACGATGCTGGTAACAAAACCACTTTTAACGCTACACCTCGTGTACCCAGTAATTTTACCTCAATCCTTTTCCGGAAACCTCCAGTAGCGTCAACCTATTTTCAAATGATAACTTGCAGTAGCATGGTTCTTGTATTGCTTATTAGTTATTAAATGACTTACTATGACTACTCACTTACTCAAGAATATATCGTGAAACGTTCTATATCTCCACTAGACGTTTTAAGGAGAATCAAGATTAAATAATAGCATAATTTCGAGTTAATATTTGTACATTTATATCTAAAATGACAACTAATCAAAATATGGTTGAATGAACTAGTTTTAAGTTACACACTGTCATATTACTCGTATTTTATATAGGTTATCTTGCATCTAAATCAGGAGGCCAAGTTACCTCGATCGGATTGATAGGACGGACAATCTTCTTTAAACTATCAACAACGTAGAGGCGGACCAACTTCAAATTTGAAACCCGTCCGACAAACTGAAAAAACTGCACATCATCATTAACAGTCTGAAACGTGTACGTAATTGTTGGAAGAGAACGCCCAGCAAACGGTAAAAATGATTCACTCAGTCCGTCGCCAATTCCATCTTTGGATGTAGCGACCACATCATCGGAGTATTTTTCTACAATTCTATGTACACATTCTGAAAGGTTCAAAACAAAAAGATGCGCAAATTTCATTTAAATGATCATAATGTTAAAACCATGAAAGTACATGCTTATCGATTTTTCTTTTTGGGGACTCGACATTATCGTTAACACCAATTTTAATCACTTTTTGCGACGAGTAAAACAATATATACACTCCACGGACATTATTCATTGCAAACATGCAACTGCCAATCTTAGATACACCAGCTATACTGAAAGTCGAATATAGAAATTTTCAAGAATTTTAAACACCATTAACGAAATATCAACGATTTATTTTCGAACAGTAACAAGCAAAAAACCAATATTCATGAACATTTAACGTTTTCATCAAATACTTCCCCAATCGAATTAGTTGAAACACTTTGTCTCAACACACCTGTGGAAGGATAAGCATTGGTAGTTGGTGTTGTTGTACTAATGACAGATGTCGTCGGTGTGGGCGTGGCTGACGTTGTTGACGCAAAAGAAGTCATGCTAGTCGTTGATGACATTGATGGGGTTGACGTTGTCGTAGAAGATATTGCTGTTGTTTGACGAGTGGAATATGCTGTAGAATGGATAGACGTTGTATCAGATGGTGTAGTAGTTGTGGATGGAGGAGGTGTGGTAGATGTTGTTATAATAGGTAATGTTGTTGTTGGTGTAGGAGTTGTCGATGTGGTTGTATCCGCTTCAGTGATAATCGGTGTTGTAGGAGATGGTGAGGATGTTGTAGTTGGAGGTGGTGTGGTAGATGTTGTTGTGGGAGGAACTGTTGTTAGTGATGTTGTTTGGGTAGGTGTTGTCGACGTGGTTGTGTCCGGTTCAGTGACAATCGATGTTGTAGGAGATGGTGAGGATGTTGTAGTTGGAGGTGGTGTGGTAGATGTTGTTGTTGGGGGTAATGTGGTTACTGATGTTATTTGTGTAGGTGTTGTCGATGTGCTTGTTTCCGGTTCAGTGACAATCGATGTTGTAGGAGAAGGTGTAGATGTGGTAGTTGGAGGTGACGTGGTAGATGTTGTTGTAGGAGGAACTGTTTTTATTGATGTTGTTTGGGTAGGTGTTGTCGACGTGGTTGTTTCCGGTTCTGTGACAATTGACGTTGTAGGAGACGAAGTTAATGTTGTAGTTGGAGGGAGCGTGGTAGATGTTGTTGTCGGAGGAACTGTTTTTACTGATGTTGTTTGGGTAGGTGTTGTCGACGTGGTTGTTTCCGGTTCAGTGACAATCGATGTTGTAGGAGATGGTGAGGATGTTGTAGTTGGAGGTGGTGTGGTAGATGTTGTTGTAGGAGGTAATGTGGTTACTGATGTTATTTGTGTAGGTGTTGTCGATGTGGTTGTTTCCGGTTCGGTGACAATCGATGTTGTAGGAGATGGTGTTGATGTTGTAGTAGGAGGGGGCGTGGTAGATGTTGTTGTATGAGGAACCGTTGTTACTGATGTTGTTTGGGTAGGTGCTGTCGTTGTGGTTGTTTCTGGTTCAGTGACAATCGATGTTGTAGGAGATGCCGTGGAAGTAGCTGGAGGTGTCGTGGTAGATGTTGTTGTAGGAGGAACCGTTGTTACTGATGTTGTTGGAGTAGGTGTTGTCGATGTGGTTGTTTCCGGTTCGGTGACAATCGATGTTGTAGGAGAAGGTGTAGATGTGGTAGTTGGAGGAACTGTTTTTATTGATGTTGTTTGGGTAGGTGTTGTCGACGTGGTTGTTTCCGGTTCAGTGACAATTGATGTTTTAGGAGATGGTGAGGATGTTGTAGTTGGAGATGGTGTGGTAGATGTTGTTGTAGGACGTAATGTGGTTACTGATGTTATTTCGGTAGGTGTTGTCGATGTGGTTGTTTCCGGTTCAGTGACAATCGATGTTGTAGGAGATGGTGTGGATGTTGTAGTTGGAGGGGGCGTGGTAGATGTTGTTGTAGGAGGAACTGTTGTTAGTGATGTTGTTTGGGTAGGTGTTGTCGACGTGGTTGTTTCGGGTTCGGTGACAGTTGATGTTGTAGGAGATGGTGTGGATGATATAGTTGGAGGTGGTGTGGTAGATGTTGTTGTAGGAGGAACTGTTGTAACAGATGTTGTTTGGGTAGGTGTTGTTGATGTGGTTGTTTCCGGTTCAGTGACAATCGATGTTGTAGGAGATGGTGTAGATGTGGTAGTTGGAGGTGGTGTGGTAGATGTTGTTGTAGGAGGAACTGTTTTTATTGATATTGTTTGGGTAGGTGTTGTCGATGTTGTTGTTTTCGGTTCAGTGACAATCGATGTTGTAGGAGATGGTGTAGATGTTGTAGTTGGAGGTGGTGTGGTAGATGATGTTGTAGGAGGAACTGTTGTTACTGATGTTGTTTGAGTAGGTGTTGTTGATGTGGTTGTTTCCGGTTCGGTGACAATCGATGTTGTAGGAGATGGTGTAGATGTGGTAGTTGGAGGTGGTGCGGTAGATGTTGTTGTAGGTGGAACTGTTTTTATTGATGTTATTTGGGAAGGTGTTGTCGACGTGGTTGTTTCCGGTTCAGTGACAATTGATGTTGTAGGAGATGGTGAGGATGTTGTAGTTGGAGATGGTGTGGTAGATGTTGCTGTAGGAGGTAATGTGGTTACTGATGTTATTTGTGTAGGTGTTGTCGATGTGGTTGTTTCCGTTTCAGTGACAATCGATGTTGTAGGAGATGGTGTTGATGTTGTAGTTGGAAGGGGCGTGGTAGATGTTGTTGTAGGAGGAACTGTTGTTAGTGATGTTGTTTGGATAGGTGTTGTCGATGTGGTTGTTTCGGGTTCGGTGACAGTTGATGTTGTAGAAGATGGTGTGGATGATATAGTTGGAGGTGGTGTGGTAGATGTTGTTGTAGGAGGAACTGTTTTTATTGATGTTGTTTGGGTAGGTGTTGTCGATGTGGTTGTTTCCGGTTCGGTGACAATCGATGTTGTAGGAGATGGTGTTGATGTTGTAGTTGGAGGTGGTGTGGTAGATGTTGTTGTAGGAGGAACTGTTGTTAGTGATGTTGTTTGGGTAGGTGTTGTCGATGTGGTTGTTTCGGGTTCGGCGACAATCGATGTTGTAGGAGATGGTGTAGATGTGGTAGTTGGAGGTGGTGTGGTAGATGTTGTTGTAGGAGGTAATGTGGTTACTGATGTTATTTGTGTAGGTGTTGTCGATGTGCTTGTTTTCGGTTCAGTGACAATCGATGTTGTAGGAGATGGTGTTGATGTTGTAGTTGGGAGGGGCGTGGTAGATGTTGTTGTAGGAGGAACTGTTGTTAGTGATGTTGTTTGGGTAGGTGTTGTTGATGTGGTTGTTTCCGGTTCAGTGACAATCGATGTTGTAAGAGATGGTGAGGATGTTGTAGTTGGAGGTGGTGTGGTAGATGTTGTTGTAGGACGTAATGTGGTTACTGATGTTGTTTGGGTAGGTGTTGTCGACGTGGTTGTTTCTGGTCCAGTGACAATTGACGTTGAAGGAGATGGTGTGGCTGTTGTAGTTGGAGGTGGTGTGGTAGATGTTGTTGTAGGAGGAACTGTTGTTACGGATGTTGTTTGGGTAGGTGTTGTCGACGTGGTTGTTTCTGGTTCAGTGACAATCGATGTTGTTGAAGGTGGTGAGGATGTTGTAGTTGGAGGTGGTGTGGTAGATGTTGTTGTAGGAGGAACTGTTGTTACTGATGTTGTTTGGGTAGGTGTTGTCGATGTGGTTGTTTCCGGTTCGGTGACAATCGATGTTGTAGGAGATGGTGTAGATGTGGTAGTTGGAGGTGGTGTGGTAGATGATGTTGTAGGAGGAACTGTTGTTATTGATGTTATTTGGGTTGGTGTTGTCGATGTGGTTGTTTCCTGTTCAGTGACAATCGATGTTGTAGGAGATGGTGTTGATGTTGTAGTTGGAGGTGGTGTGGTAGATGTTGTTGTAGGAGGAACTGTTGTTACTGATGTTGTTTGGGTAGGTGTTGTCGACGTGGTTGTTTCTGGTTCAGTGACAATCGATGTTGTAGGAGATGGTGTGGAAGAAGTAGTTGGAGGTTGTGTGGTAGATGTTGTTGTAGGAGGAACTGTTGTTAGTGATGTTGTTTGGGTAGCTGTTGTCGACGTGGTTGTTTCCGGTTCAGTGACAATCGATGTTGTTGAAGGTGGTGTGGATGTTGTAGTTGGAGGGAGTGTGGTAGATAATGTAGTAGGAGGAACTGTTGTTACTGATGTTGTTTTGGTTGAAGATACTGATGTGGTTGTTTTCGGTTCAGTGACACTCGACGTTGTAGGTGAAGGTGTGGACGTATTTGCAGGGGATGTGGTAGAAATTATTGTAGGAGATAATGTTGTTACTGATGTTGTCGAGGTAGACCTCAGTGATGTTAAGCTGGTTGTTGGAGGAAGAGCTGTACCTGAAGTTGTCGGTGTAGGCGTTGCAGATGTTGTTGTTGTTGAAACTGATGGCGTGGATGTCTTCGATATCGGCGTTGAAGACGTTGTCACAGTTGAGGCGGTGCTCGAAGATAAATTCTCTGTGGTAAAAATACATATTCTGATAATTCTAACTTGCATAAACATGTCATTCTTTTCATAAAAACTAATGTTGATGATGATAACCTAATTAATAGCATACATGTATATCAACAGCTGTCTCGAGCAAAGTATTTCTCTAACCAATGATTTACCAAATGGTTATGAATGACAGAGCAAAATACATGCCATAGTCCATGTTTTCATTTGAAACTGACAATATTTGCATTTTTGTTCATGTCTTTCCATTCAAAGAAATTATATCATTCAGCGGCTCATCATAATCCGAGTAAAAGTTTTCTTTTCCAATTTTGAACAGTATGAAACCCCAATATTGTAATCGCATGGTAATATAAGCATATCGGAAGAAAACGTGAAAGCATTAAAATATGATATTAGTTAAGCCATATTAAGTCCTAAAAAGTAATAAGCTTACCTGTTGTTTATTTAGATTAGATTACAACAAGTCAGCAGATTTGCGTTTAAATACAAAACCGCATCGATCGGTTTCACTAATTTCTCATCAGGTGTTTCAATTGTATTTGACACAGAACAGATGTGCGATATAGAAGTAATGATACCATACAACTATTCAGCACGGATTTGAATGATAGTGTAATGACGTCAACCCCATCATCTTTGAGCCATATGACGTGGTATAAAAAGCACTTGGATGCATACCTGTTGTTGTACTCTGCGTAGTCGTAGGTGTGGTTGTGCTAGTGGTTACCGTTGTTGTAGATGTAGTTCCCTCTGGGGTCGTTGACTCTGTAGTTGTCGGCATGGTCGTTGTTGTTGGCAGAGTCGTTGTCGATGTAGTAGTGGACGTGGTCTCTGGAGTAGTTGTCGTCGTAGGCATTGCAGTTGTCGTTACACTTGTGGTTGTTGTTGCTACAATTTGTTTACCACAGACATGAATGCATGATACGAATGAAATAGTTGACATAATCATTTACGCATGGCGCTCTATCACTTGGATATTATGGACATAATCGATTAAATAGAATGTATTGAATTCAATCGAAACGCATACCTGATGTGTAACAAGCCTCGATCACTACCTCATCAAGTTTAGGTTGGCCATAGGAGGTTGGTTCAAGGACTACCTTCACCTTCACTCCCATCGTACCGACCAGTGGTACATCTACCGTCTTTGGATATGGTCCGGAAAGTGACACCTATTAACAACAACAACACCGAACGTCATTATCATATACTGGCGATTATTCGACTGCATTTAATATCACTAAAGATTTGAATTTAGACAATTCATCGACAACATTGGCGTGTTTACCTGCTTTGGATTGATAGGCGCAACGGCATTGTTGTTCTCGTCAAGAACAAACACTTTGATAGTCATCACGTTCCATACTTTCGCAGCAAATCGGACGAATTTAACCTCCTCATTGATTGCCTTGATCATATATGTTATTGATGGATTTAGAACGCCCGAATTTGGAACAAATGCTACTTCCAGACCATTACCATTTCCATCTTTAGTGTTAGAAACCACATCGACAGTGTTGTCTTCAGATATCATTTGGATGTCACATTCTGAAAACAATAGCATATGCTTAATATAAACGAGAACATTTATTTCGCAAATATACTACAATGCTTTCAACAATCTTCAGGGATGAAACTCATTTTATAGATTAAACACATCTTATACCAAAAACTCATCGATAGGTATAAATACATATTTCCTTTAGATTACAACAAGTCAGCTCTCATCCTGATATATACGTATCGCAGATTTGCGTTTAAATACAAAACCGCATAGATCAGTTTCACTAATTTCTCATCAGGTGTTTCAATTGTATTTGACATAGAACAGATGTGCGATATAGAAGTAATGATACCATACAACTATTCAGCACGGATTTGAATGATAGTGTAATGACGTCAACCCCATCATCTTTGAGCCATATGACGTGGTATAAAAAGCACTTGGATGCATACCTGTTGTTGTACTCTGCGTAGTCGTAGGTGTGGTTGTGCTAGTGGTTACCGTTGTTGTAGATGTAGTTCCCTCTGGGGTCGTTGACTCTGTAGTTGTCGGCATGGTCGTTGTTGTTGGCAGAGTCGTTGTCGATGTAGTAGTGGACGTGGTCTCTGGAGTAGTTGTCGTCGTAGGCATTGCAGTTGTCGTTACACTTGTGGTTGTTGTTGCTACAATTTGTTTACCACAGACATATGAATGCATGATACGAATGAAATAGTTGACAAAATTATTTACGCATGGCGCTCTATCACTTGGATATTATGGACATAATCGATTAAACAGAATGTATTGAATTCAATCTAAACGCATACCTGATGTGTAACAAGCCTCGATCACTACCTCATCAAGTTTAGGTTGGCCATAGGAGGTTGGTTCAAGGACTACCTTCACCTTCACTCCCATCGTACCGACCAGTGGTACATCTACCGTCTTTGGATATGGTCCGGAAAGTGACACCTATTAACAACAACAACATTGAACGTCATTATCATATACTGACGATTATTCGACTGCATTTAATATCACTAAAGATTTGAATTTAGACAATTCATCGACAACATTGGCGTGTTTACCTGCTTTGGATTGATAGGCGCAACGGCATTGTTGTTCTCGTCAAGAACAAACACTTTGATAGTCATCACGTTCCATACTTTCGCAGCAAATCGGACGAATTTAACCTCCTCATTGATTGCCTTGATCATATATGTTATTGATGGATTTAGAACGCCCGAATTTGGAACAAATGCTACTTCCAGACCATTACCATTTCCATCTTTAGTGTTAGAAACCACATCGACAGTGTTGTCTTCAGATATCATTTGGATGTCACATTCTGAAAACAATAGCATATGCTTAATATAAACGAGAACATTTATTTCGCAAATATACTACAATGCTTTCAACAATCTTCAGGAATGAAACTCATTTTATAGATTAAACACATCTTATACCAAAAACTCATCGATAGGTATAAATACATATTTCCTTTAGATTACAACAAGTCAGCTCTCATCCTGATATATACGTATCGCAGATTTGCGTTTAAATACAAAACCGCATAGATCAGTTTCACTAATTTCTCATCAGGTGTTTCAATTGTATTTGACATAGAACAGATGTGCGATATAGAAGTAATGATACCATACAACTATTCAGCACGGATTTGAATGATAGTGTAATGACGTCAACCCCATCATCTTTGAGCCATATGACGTGGTATAAAAAGCACTTGGATGCATACCTGTTGTTGTACTCTGCGTAGTCGTAGGTGTGGTTGTGCTAGTGGTTACCGTTGTTGTAGATGTAGTTCCCTCTGGGGTCGTTGACTCTGTAGTTGTCGGCATGGTCGTTGTTGTTGGCAGAGTCGTTGTCGATGTAGTAGTGGACGTGGTCTCTGGAGTAGTTGTCGTCGTAGGCATTGCAGTTGTCGTTACACTTGTGGTTGTTGTTGCTACAATTTGTTTACCACAGACATATGAATGCATGATACGAATGAAATAGTTGACAAAATTATTTACGCATGGCGCTCTATCACTTGGATATTATGGACATAATCGATTAAATAGAATGTATTGAATTCAATCTTAACGCATACCTGATGTGTAACAAGCCTCGATCACTACCTCATCAAGTTTAGGTTGGCCATAGGAGGTTGGTTCAAGGACTACCTTCACCTTCACTCCCATCGTACCGACCAGTGGTACATCTACCGTCTTTGGATATGGTCCGGAAAGTGACACCTATTAACAACAACAACACCGAACGTCATTATCATATACTGGCGATAATTCGACTGCATTTAATATCACTAAAGATTTGAATTTAGACAATTCATCGACAACATTGGCGTGTTTACCTGCTTTGGATTGATAGGCGCAACGGCATTGTTGTTCTCGTCAAGAACAAACACTTTGATAGTCATCACGTTCCATACTTTCGCAGCAAATCGGACGAATTTAACCTCCTCATTGATTGCCTTGATCATATATGTTATTGATGGATTTAGAACGCCCGAATTTGGAACAAATGCTACTTCCAGACCATTACCATTTCCATCTTTAGTGTTAGAAACCACATCGACAGTGTTGTCTTCAGATATCATTTGGATGTCACATTCTGAAAACAATAGCATATGCTTAATATAAACGAGAACATTTATTTCGCAAATATACTACAATGCTTTCAACAATCTTCAGGAATGAAACTCATTTTATAGATTAAACACATCTTATACCAAAAACTCATCGATAGGTATAAATACATATTTCCTTTAGATTACAACAAGTCAGCTCTCATCCTGATATATACGTATCGCAGATTTGCGTTTAAATACAAAACCGCATAGATCAGTTTCACTAATTTCTCATCAGGTGTTTCAATTGTATTTGACATAGAACAGATGTGCGATATAGAAGTAATGATACCATACAACTATTCAGCACGGATTTGAATGATAGTGTAATGACGTCAACCCCATCATCTTTGAGCCATATGACGTGGTATAAAAAGCACTTGGATGCATACCTGTTGTTGTACTCTGCGTAGTCGTAGGTGTGGTTGTGCTAGTGGTTACCGTTGTTGTAGATGTAGTTCCCTCTGGGGTCGTTGACTCTGTAGTTGTCGGCATGGTCGTTGTTGTTGGCAGAGTCGTTGTCGATGTAGTAGTGGACGTGGTCTCTGGAGTAGTTGTCGTCGTAGGCATTGCAGTTGTCGTTACACTTGTGGTTGTTGTTGCTACAATTTGTTTACCACAGACATATGAATGCATGATACGAATGAAATAGTTGACAAAATTATTTACGCATGGCGCTCTATCACTTGGATATTATGGACATAATCGATTAAATAGAATGTATTGAATTCAATCTTAACGCATACCTGATGTGTAACAAGCCTCGATCACTACCTCATCAAGTTTAGGTTGGCCATAGGAGGTTGGTTCAAGGACTACCTTCACCTTCACTCCCATCGTACCGACCAGTGGTACATCTACCGTCTTTGGATATGGTCCGGAAAGTGACACCTATTAACAACAACAACATTGAACGTCATTATCATATACTGGCGATTATTCGACTGCATTTAATATCACTAAAGATTTGAATTTAGACAATTCATCGACAACATTGGCGTGTTTACCTGCTTTGGATTGATAGGCGCAACGGCATTGTTGTTCTCGTCAAGAACAAACACTTTGATAGTCATCACGTTCCATACTTTCGCAGCAAATCGGACGAATTTAACCTCCTCATTGATTGCCTTGATCATATATGTTATTGATGGATTTAGAACGCCCGAATTTGGAACAAATGCTACTTCCAGACCATTACCATTTCCATCTTTAGTGTTAGAAACCACATCGACAGTGTTGTCTTCAGATATCATTTGGATGTCACATTCTGAAAACAATAGCATATGCTTAATATAAACGAGAACATTTATTTCGCAAATATACTACAATGCTTTCAACAATCTTCAGGAATGAAACTCATTTTATAGATTAAACACATCTTATACCAAAAACTCATCGATAGGTATAAATACATATTTCCTTTAGATTACAACAAGTCAGCTCTCATCCTGATATATACGTATCGCAGATTTGCGTTTAAATACAAAACCGCATAGATCAGTTTCACTAATTTCTCATCAGGTGTTTCAATTGTATTTGACATAGAACAGATGTGCGATATAGAAGTAATGATACCATACAACTATTCAGCACGGATTTGAATGATAGTGTAATGACGTCAACCCCATCATCTTTGAGCCATATGACGTGGTATAAAAAGCACTTGGATGCATACCTGTTGTTGTACTCTGCGTAGTCGTAGGTGTGGTTGTGCTAGTGGTTACCGTTGTTGTAGATGTAGTTCCCTCTGGGGTCGTTGACTCTGTAGTTGTCGGCATGGTCGTTGTTGTTGGCAGAGTCGTTGTCGATGTAGTAGTGGACGTGGTCTCTGGAGTAGTTGTCGTCGTAGGCATTGCAGTTGTCGTTACACTTGTGGTTGTTGTTGCTACAATTTGTTTACCACAGACATATGAATGCATGATACGAATGAAATAGTTGACAAAATTATTTACGCATGGCGCTCTATCACTTGGATATTATGGACATAATCGATTAAATAGAATGTATTGAATTCAATCTTAACGCATACCTGATGTGTAACAAGCCTCGATCACTACCTCATCAAGTTTAGGTTGGCCATAGGAGGTTGGTTCAAGGACTACCTTCACCTTCACTCCCATCGTACCGACCAGTGGTACATCTACCGTCTTTGGATATGGTCCGGAAAGTGACACCTATTAACAACAACAACATTGAACGTCATTATCATATACTGGCGATTATTCGACTGCATTTAATATCACTAAATTTTTGAATTTAGACAATTCATCGACAACATTGGCGTGTTTACCTGCTTTGGATTGATAGGCGCAACGGCATTGTTGTTCTCGTCAAGAACAAACACTTTGATAGTCATCACGTTCCATACTTTCGCAGCAAATCGGACGAATTTAACCTCCTCATTGATTGCCTTGATCATATATGTTATTGATGGATTTAGAACGCCCGAATTTGGAACAAATGCTACTTCCAGACCATTACCATTTCCATCTTTAGTGTTAGAAACCACATCGACAGTGTTGTCTTCAGATATCATTTGGATGTCACATTCTGAAAACAATAGCATATGCTTAATATAAACGAGAACATTTATTTCGCAAATATACTACAATGCTTTCAACAATCTTCAGGAATGAAACTCATTTGATAGATTAAACACATCTTATACCAAAAACTCATCGATAGGTATAAATACATATTTCCTTTAGATTACAACAAGTCAGCTCTCATCCTGATATATACGTATCGCAGATTTGCGTTTAAATACAAAACCGCATAGATCAGTTTCACTAATTTCTCATCAGGTGTTTCAATTGTATTTGACATAGAACAGATGTGCGATATAGAAGTAATGATACCATACAACTATTCAGCACGGATTTGAATGATAGTGTAATGACGTCAACCCCATCATCTTTGAGCCATATGACGTGGTATAAAAAGCACTTGGATGCATACCTGTTGTTGTACTCTGCGTAGTCGTAGGTGTGGTTGTGCTAGTGGTTACCGTTGTTGTAGATGTAGTTCCCTCTGGGGTCGTTGACTCTGTAGTTGTCGGCATGGTCGTTGTTGTTGGCAGAGTCGTTGTCGATGTAGTAGTGGACGTGGTCTCTGGAGTAGTTGTCGTCGTAGGCATTGCAGTTGTCGTTACACTTGTGGTTGTTGTTGCTACAATTTGTTTACCACAGACATATGAATGCATGATACGAATGAAATAGTTGACATAATTATTTACGCATGGCGCTCTATCACTTGGATATTATGGACATAATCGATTAAATAGAATGTATTGAATTCACTCTAAACGCATACCTGATGTGTAACAAGCCTCGATCACTACCCCATCAAGTTTAGGTTGGCCATAGGAGGTTGGTTCAAGGACTACCTTCACCTTCACTCCCATCGTACCGACCAGTGGTACATCTACCGTCTTTGGATATGGTCCGGAAAGTGACACCTATTAACAACAACAACATTGAACGTCATTATCATATACTGGCGATTATTCGACTGCATTTAATATCACTAAAATTTTGAATTTAGACAATTCATCGACAACATTGGCGTGTTTACCTGCTTTGGATTGATAGGCGCAACGGCATTGTTGTTCTCGTCAAGAACAAACACTTTGATAGTCATCACGTTCCATACTTTCGCAGCAAATCGGACGAATTTAACCTCCTCATTGATTGCCTTGATCATATATGTTATTGATGGATTTAGAACGCCCGAATTTGGAACAAATGCTACTTCCAGACCATTACCATTTCCATCTTTAGTGTTAGAAACCACATCGACAGTGTTGTCTTCAGATATCATTTGGATGTCACATTCTGAAAACAATAGCATATGCTTAATATAAACGAGAACATTTATTTCGCAAATATACTACAATGCTTTCAACAATCTTCAGGAATGAAACTCATTTGATAGATTAAACACATCGTATACCAAAAACTCATCGATAGGTATAAATACATATTTCCTTTAGATTACAACAAGTCAGCTCTCATCCTGATATATACGTATCGCAGATTTGCGTTTAAATACAAAACCGCATAGATCAGTTTCACTAATTTCTCATCAGGTGTTTCAATTGTATTTGACATAGAACAGATGTGCGATATAGAAGTAATGATACCATACAACTATTCAGCACGGATTTGAATGATAGTGTAATGACGTCAACCCCATCATCTTTGAGCCATATGACGTGGTATAAAAAGCACTTGGATGCATACCTGTTGTTGTACTCTGCGTAGTCGTAGGTGTGGTTGTGCTAGTGGTTACCGTTGTTGTAGATGTAGTTCCCTCTGGGGTCGTTGACTCTGTAGTTGTCGGCATGGTCGTTGTTGTTGGCAGAGTCGTTGTCGATGTAGTAGTGGACGTGGTCTCTGGAGTAGTTGTCGTCGTAGGCATTGCAGTTGTCGTTACACTTGTGGTTGTTGTTGCTACAATTTGTTTACCACAGACATATGAATGCATGATACGAATGAAATAGTTGACATAATTATTTACGCATGGCGCTCTATCACTTGGATATTATGGACATAATCGATTAAATAGAATGTATTGAATTCAATCTAAACGCGTACCTGATGTGTAACAAGCCTCGATCACTACCTCATCAAGTTTAGGTTGGCCATAGGAGGTTGGTTCAAGGACTACCTTCACCTTCACTCCCATCGTACCGACCAGTGGTACATCTACCGTCTTTGGATATGGTCCGGAAAGTGACACCTATTAACAACAACAACATTGAACGTCATTATCATATACTGGCGATTATTCGACTGCATTTAATATCACTAAAATTTTGAATTTAGACAATTCATCGACAACATTGGCGTGTTTACCTGCTTTGGATTGATAGGCGCAACGGCATTGTTGTTCTCGTCAAGAACAAACACTTTGATAGTCATCACGTTCCATACTTTCGCAGCAAATCGGACGAATTTAACCTCCTCATTGATTGCCTTGATCATATATGTTATTGATGGATTTAGAACGCCCGAATTTGGAACAAATGCTACTTCCAGACCATTACCATTTCCATCTTTAGTGTTAGAAACCACATCGACAGTGTTGTCTTCAGATATCATTTGGATGTCACATTCTGAAAACAATAGCATATGCTTAATATAAACGAGAACATTTATTTCGCAAATATACTACAATGCTTTCAACAATCTTCAGGAATGAAACTCATTTGATAGATTAAACACATCGTATACCAAAAACTCATCGATAGGTATAAATACATATTTCCTTTAGATTACAACAAGTCAGCTCTCATCCTGATATATACGTATCGCAGATTTGCGTTTAAATACAAAACCGCATAGATCAGTTTCACTAATTTCTCATCAGGTGTTTCAATTGTATTTGACATAGAACAGATGTGCGATATAGAAGTAATGATACCATACAACTATTCAGCACGGATTTGAATGATAGTGTAATGACGTCAACCCCATCATCTTTGAGCCATATGACGTGGTATAAAAAGCACTTGGATGCATACCTGTTGTTGTACTCTGCGTAGTCGTAGGTGTGGTTGTGCTAGTGGTTACCGTTGTTGTAGATGTAGTTCCCTCTGGGGTCGTTGACTCTGTAGTTGTCGGCATGGTCGTTGTTGTTGGCAGAGTCGTTGTCGATGTAGTAGTGGACGTGGTCTCTGGAGTAGTTGTCGTCGTAGGCATTGCAGTTGTCGTTACACTTGTGGTTGTTATTGCTACAATTTGTTTACCACAGACATATGAATGCATGATACGAATGAAATAGTTGACATAATTATTTACGCATGGCGCTCTATCACTTGGATATTATGGACATAATCGATTAAATAGAATGTATTGAATTCACTCTAAACGCATACCTGATGTGTAACAAGCCTCGATCACTACCTCATCAAGTTTAGGTTGGCCATAGGAGGTTGGTTCAAGGACTACCTTCACCTTCACTCCCATCGTACCGACCAGTGGTACATCTACCGTCTTTGGATATGGTCCGGAAAGTGACACCTATTAACAACAACAACATTGAACGTCATTATCATATACTGGCGATTATTCGACTGCATTTAATATCACTAAAATTTTGAATTTAGACAATTCATCGACAACATTGGCGTGTTTACCTGCTTTGGATTGATAGGCGCAACGGCATTGTTGTTCTCGTCAAGAACAAACACTTTGATAGTCATCACGTTCCATACTTTCGCAGCAAATCGGACGAATTTAACCTCCTCATTGATTGCCTTGATCATATATGTTATTGATGGATTTAGAACGCCCGAATTTGGAACAAATGCTACTTCCAGACCATTACCATTTCCATCTTTAGTGTTAGAAACCACATCGACAGTGTTGTCTTCAGATATCATTTGGATGTCACATTCTGAAAACAATAGCATATGCTTAATATAAACGAGAACATTTATTTCGCAAATATACTACAATGCTTTCAACAATCTTCAGGAATGAAACTCATTTGATAGATTAAACACATCGTATACCAAAAACTCATCGATAGGTATAAATACATATTTCCTTTAGATTACAACAAGTCAGCTCTCATCCTGATATATACGTATCGCAGATTTGCGTTTAAATACAAAACCGCATAGATCAGTTTCACTAATTTCTCATCAGGTGTTTCAATTGTATTTGACATAGAACAGATGTGCGATATAGAAGTAATGATACCATACAACTATTCAGCACGGATTTGAATGATAGTGTAATGACGTCAACCCCATCATCTTTGAGCCATATGACGTGGTATAAAAAGCACTTGGATGCATACCTGTTGTTGTACTCTGCGTAGTCGTAGGTGTGGTTGTGCTAGTGGTTACCGTTGTTGTAGATGTAGTTCCCTCTGGGGTCGTTGACTCTGTAGTTGTCGGCATGGTCGTTGTTGTTGGCAGAGTCGTTGTCGATGTAGTAGTGGACGTGGTCTCTGGAGTAGTTGTCGTCGTAGGCATTGCAGTTGTCGTTACACTTGTGGTTGTTGTTGCTACAATTTGTTTACCACAGACATATGAATGCATGATACGAATGAAATAGTTGACATAATTATTTACGCATGGCGCTCTATCACTTGGATATTATGGACATAATCGATTAAATAGAATGTATTGAATTCACTCTAAACGCATACCTGATGTGTAACAAGCCTCGATCACTACCTCATCAAGTTTAGGTTGGCCATAGGAGGTTGGTTCAAGGACTACCTTCACCTTCACTCCCATCGTACCGACCAGTGGTACATCTACCGTCTTTGGATATGGTCCGGAAAGTGACACCTATTAACAACAACAACATTGAACGTCATTATCATATACTGGCGATTATTCGACTGCATTTAATATCACTAAAATTTTGAATTTAGACAATTCATCGACAACATTGGCGTGTTTACCTGCTTTGGATTGATAGGCGCAACGGCATTGTTGTTCTCGTCAAGAACAAACACTTTGATAGTCATCACGTTCCATACTTTCGCAGCAAATCGGACGAATTTAACCTCCTCATTGATTGCCTTGATCATATATGTTATTGATGGATTTAGAACGCCCGAATTTGGAACAAATGCTACTTCCAGACCATTACCATTTCCATCTTTAGTGTTAGAAACCACATCGACAGTGTTGTCTTCAGATATCATTTGGATGTCACATTCTGAAAACAATAGCATATGCTTAATATAAACGAGAACATTTATTTCGCAAATATACTACAATGCTTTCAACAATCTTCAGGAATGAAACTCATTTGATAGATTAAACACATCGTATACCAAAAACTCATCGATAGGTATAAATACATATTTCCTTTAGATTACAACAAGTCAGCTCTCATCCTGATATATACGTATCGCAGATTTGCGTTTAAATACAAAACCGCATAGATCAGTTTCACTAATTTCTCATCAGGTGTTTCAATTGTATTTGACATAGAACAGATGTGCGATATAGAAGTAATGATACCATACAACTATTCAGCACGGATTTGAATGATAGTGTAATGACGTCAACCCCATCATCTTTGAGCCATATGACGTGGTATAAAAAGCACTTGGATGCATACCTGTTGTTGTACTCTGCGTAGTCGTAGGTGTGGTTGTGCTAGTGGTTACCGTTGTTGTAGATGTAGTTCCCTCTGGGGTCGTTGACTCTGTAGTTGTCGGCATGGTCGTTGTTGTTGGCAGAGTCGTTGTCGATGTAGTAGTGGACGTGGTCTCTGGAGTAGTTGTCGTCGTAGGCATTGCAGTTGTCGTTACACTTGTGGTTGTTATTGCTACAATTTGTTTACCACAGACATATGAATGCATGATACGAATGAAATAGTTGACATAATTATTTACGCATGGCGCTCTATCACTTGGATATTATGGACATAATCGATTAAATAGAATGTATTGAATTCAATCTAAACGCATACCTGATGTGTAACAAGCCTCGATCACTACCTCATCAAGTTTAGGTTGGCCATAGGAGGTTGGTTCAAGGACTACCTTCACCTTCACTCCCATCGTACCGACCAGTGGTACATCTACCGTCTTTGGATATGGTCCGGAAAGTGACACCTATTAACAACAACAACATTGAACGTCATTATCATATACTGGCGATTATTCGACTGCATTTAATATCACTAAAATTTTGAATTTAGACAATTCATCGACAACATTGGCGTGTTTACCTGCTTTGGATTGATAGGCGCAACGGCATTGTTGTTCTCGTCAAGAACAAACACTTTGATAGTCATCACGTTCCATACTTTCGCAGCAAATCGGACGAATTTAACCTCCTCATTGATTGCCTTGATCATATATGTTATTGATGGATTTAGAACGCCCGAATTTGGAACAAATGCTACTTCCAGACCATTACCATTTCCATCTTTAGTGTTAGAAACCACATCGACAGTGTTGTCTTCAGATATCATTTGGATGTCACATTCTGAAAACAATAGCATATGCTTAATATAAACGAGAACATTTATTTCGCAAATATACTACAATGCTTTCAACAATCTTCAGGAATGAAACTCATTTGATAGATTAAACACATCGTATACCAAAAACTCATCGATAGGTATAAATACATATTTCCTTTAGATTACAACAAGTCAGCTCTCATCCTGATATATACGTATCGCAGATTTGCGTTTAAATACAAAACCGCATAGATCAGTTTCACTAATTTCTCATCAGGTGTTTCAATTGTATTTGACATAGAACAGATGTGCGATATAGAAGTAATGATACCATACAACTATTCAGCACGGATTTGAATGATAGTGTAATGACGTCAACCCCATCATCTTTGAGCCATATGACGTGGTATAAAAAGCACTTGGATGCATACCTGTTGTTGTACTCTGCGTAGTCGTAGGTGTGGTTGTGCTAGTGGTTACCGTTGTTGTAGATGTAGTTCCCTCTGGGGTCGTTGACTCTGTAGTTGTCGGCATGGTGGTTGTTGTTGGCAGAGTCGTTGTCGATGTAGTAGTGGACGTGGTCTCTGGAGTAGTTGTCGTCGTAGGCATTGCAGTTGTCGTTACACTTGTGGTTGTTATTGCTACAATTTGTTTACCACAGACATATGAATGCATGATACGAATGAAATAGTTGACATAATTATTTACGCATGGCGCTCTATCACTTGGATATTATGGACATAATCGATTAAATAGAATGTATTGAATTCAATCTTAACGCGTACCTGATGTGTAACAAGCCTCGATCACTACCTCATCAAGTTTAGGTTGGCCATAGGAGGTTGGTTCAAGGACTACCTTCACCTTCACTCCCATCGTACCGACCAGTGGTACATCTACCGTCTTTGGATATGGTCCGGAAAGTGACACCTATTAACAACAACAACATTGAACGTCATTATCATATACTGGCGATTATTCGACTGCATTTAATATCACTAAAATTTTGAATTTAGACAATTCATCGACAACATTGGCGTGTTTACCTGCTTTGGATTGATAGGCGCAACGGCATTGTTGTTCTCGTCAAGAACAAACACTTTGATAGTCATCACGTTCCATACTTTCGCAGCAAATCGGACGAATTTAACCTCCTCATTGATTGCCTTGATCATATATGTTATTGATGGATTTAGAACGCCCGAATTTGGAACAAATGCTACTTCCAGACCATTACCATTTCCATCTTTAGTGTTAGAAACCACATCGACAGTGTTGTCTTCAGATATCATTTGGATGTCACATTCTGAAAACAATAGCATATGCTTAATATAAACGAGAACATTTATTTCGCAAATATACTACAATGCTTTCAACAATCTTCAGGAATGAAACTCATTTTATAGATTAAACACATCGTATACCAAAAACTCATCGATAGGTATAAATACATATTTCCTTTAGATTACAACAAGTCAGCTCTCATCCTGATATATACGTATCGCAGATTTGCGTTTAAATACAAAACCGCATAGATCAGTTTCACTAATTTCTCATCAGGTGTTTCAATTGTATTTGACATAGAACAGATGTGCGATATAGAAGTAATGATACCATACAACTATTCAGCACGGATTTGAATGATAGTGTAATGACGTCAACCCCATCATCTTTGAGCCATATGACGTGGTATAAAAAGCACTTGGATGCATACCTGTTGTTGTACTCTGCGTAGTCGTAGGTGTGGTTGTGCTAGTGGTTACCGTTGTTGTAGATGTAGTTCCCTCTGGGGTCGTTGACTCTGTAGTTGTCGGCATGGTCGTTGTTGTTGGCAGAGTCGTTGTCGATGTAGTAGTGGACGTGGTCTCTGGAGTAGTTGTCGTCGTAGGCATTGCAGTTGTCGTTACACTTGTGGTTGTTGTTGCTACAATTTGTTTACCACAGACATATGAATGCATGATACGAATGAAATAGTTGACATAATTATTTACGCATGGCGCTCTATCACTTGGATATTATGGACATAATCGATTAAATAGAATGTATTGAATTCAATCTAAACGCATACCTGATGTGTAACAAGCCTCGATCACTACCTCATCAAGTTTAGGTTGGCCATAGGAGGTTGGTTCAAGGACTACCTTCACCTTCACTCCCATCGTACCGACCAGTGGTACATCTACCGTCTTTGGATATGGTCCGGAAAGTGACACCTATTAACAACAACAACATTGAACGTCATTATCATATACTGGCGATTATTCGACTGCATATGATATCACTAAAGTTTTGAATTTAGACAATTCATCGACAACATTGGCGTGTTTACCTGCTTTGGATTGATAGGCGCAACGGCATTGTTGTTCTCGTCAAGGACAAACACTTTGATAGTCATCACGTTCCATACTTTCGCAGCAAATCGGACGAATTTAACCTCCTCATTGATTGCCTTGATCATATATGTTATTGATGGATTTAGAACGCCCGAATTTGGAACAAATGCTACTTCCAGACCATTACCATTTCCATCTTTAGTGTTAGAAACCACATCGACAGTGTTGTCTTCAGATATCATTTGGATGTCACATTCTGAAAACAATAGCATATGCTTAATATAAACGAGAACATTTATTTCGCAAATATACTACAATGCTTTCAACAATCTTCAGGAATGAAACTCATTTGATAGATTAAACACATCGTATACCAAAAACTCATCGATAGGTATAAATACATATTTCCTTTAGATTACAACAAGTCAGCTCTCATCCTGATATATACGTATCGCAGATTTGCGTTTAAATACAAAACCGCATAGATCAGTTTCACTAATTTCTCATCAGGTGTTTCAATTGTATTTGACATAGAACAGATGTGCGATATAGAAGTAATGATACCATACAACTATTCAGCGCGGATTTGAATGATAGTGTAATGACGTCAACCCCATCATCTTTGAGCCATATGACGTGGTATAAAAAGCACTTGGATGCATACCTGTTGTTGTACTCTGCGTAGTCGTAGGTGTGGTTGTGCTAGTGGTTACCGTTGTTGTAGATGTAGTTCCCTCTGGGGTCGTTGACTCTGTAGTTGTCGGCATGGTCGTTGTTGTTGGCAGAGTCGTTGTCGATGTAGTAGTGGACGTGGTCTCTGGAGTAGTTGTCGTTGTAGGCATTGCAGTTGTCGTTACACTTGTGGTTGTTGTTGCTACAATTTGTTTACCACAGACATATGAATGCATGATACGAATGAAATAGTTGACATAATTATTTAGGCATGGCGCTCTATCACTTGGATATTATGGACATAATCGATTAAATAGAATGTATTGAATTCAATCTAAACGCATACCTGATGTGTAACAAGCCTCGATCACTACCTCATCAAGTTTAGGTTGGCCATAGGAGGTTGGTTCAAGGACTACCTTCACCTTCACTCCCATCGTACCGACCAGTGGTACATCTACCGTCTTTGGATATGGTCCGGAAAGTGACACCTATTAACAACAACAACATTGAACGTCATTATCATATACTGGCGATTATTCGACTGCATATGATATCACTAAAGTTTTGAATTTAGACAATTCATCGACAACATTGGCGTGTTTACCTGCTTTGGATTGATAGGCGCAACGGCATTGTTGTTCTCGTCAAGGACAAACACTTTGATAGTCATCACGTTCCATACTTTCGCAGCAAATCGGACGAATTTAACCTCCTCATTGATTGCCTTGATCATATATGTTATTGATGGATTTAGAACGCCCGAATTTGGAACAAATGCTACTTCCAGACCATTACCATTTCCATCTTTAGTGTTAGAAACCACATCGACAGTGTTGTCTTCAGATATCATTTGGATGTCACATTCTGAAAACAATAGCATATGCTTAATATAAACGAGAACATTTATTTCGCAAATATACTACAATGCTTTCAACAATCTTCAGGAATGAAACTCATTTGAAAGATTAAACACATCTTATACCAAAACCTCATCGATAGGTATAAATACACATTTCCTTTACATTACAACAAGTCAGCTCTCATCCTGATATATACGTATCGCAGATTTGCGTTTAAATACAAAACCGCATAGATCAGTTTCACTAATTTCTCATCAGGTGTTTCAATTGTATTTGACATAGAACAGATGTGCGATATAGAAGTAATGATACCATACAACTATTCAGCACGGATTTGAATGATAGTGTAATGACGTCAACCCCATCATCTTTGAGCCATATGACGTGGTATAAAAAGCACTTGGATGCATACCTGTTGTTGTACTCTGCGTAGTCGTAGGTGTGGTTGTGCTAGTGGTTACCGTTGTTGTAGATGTAGTTCCCTCTGGGGTCGTTGACTCTGTAGTTGTCGGCATGGTGGTTGTTGTTGGCAGAGTCGTTGTCGATGTAGTAGTGGACGTGGTCTCTGGAGTAGTTGTCGTTGTAGGCATTGCAGTTGTCGTTACACTTGTGGTTGTTGTTGCTACAATTTGTTTACCACAGACATATGAATGCATGATACGAATGAAATAGTTGACATAATTATTTACGCATGGCGCTCTATCACTTGGATATTATGGACATAATCGATTAAATAGATTGTATTGAATTCAATCTAAACGCATACCTGATGTGTAACAAGCCTCGATCACTACCTCATCAAGTTTAGGTTGGCCATAGGAGGTTGGTTCAAGGACTACCTTCACCTTCACTCCCATCGTACCGACCAGTGGTACATCTACCGTCTTTGGATATGGTCCGGAAAGTGACACCTATTAACAACAACAACATTGAACGTCATTATCATATACTGGCGATTATTCGACTGCATATGATATCACTAAAGTTTTGAATTTAGACAATTCATCGACAACATTGGCGTGTTTACCTGCTTTGGATTGATAGGCGCAACGGCATTGTTGTTCTCGTCAAGGACAAACACTTTGATAGTCATCACGTTCCATACTTTCGCAGCAAATCGGACGAATTTAACCTCCTCATTGATTGCCTTGATCATATATGTTATTGATGGATTTAGAACGCCCGAATTTGGAACAAATGCTACTTCCAGACCATTACCATTTCCATCTTTAGTGTTAGAAACCACATCGACAGTGTTGTCTTCAGATATCATTTGGATGTCACATTCTGAAAACAATAGCATATGCTTAATATAAACGAGAACATTTATTTCGCAAATATACTACAATGCTTTCAACAATCTTCAGGAATGAAACTCATTTGAAAGATTAAACACATCTTATACCAAAACCTCATCGATAGGTATAAATACACATTTCCTTTACATTACAACAAGTCAGCTCTCATCCTGATATATACGTATCGCAGATTTGCGTTTAAATACAAAACCGCATAGATCAGTTTCACTAATTTCTCATCAGGTGTTTCAATTGTATTTGACATAGAACAGATGTGCGATATAGAAGTAATGATACCATACAACTATTCAGCACGGATTTGAATGATAGTGTAATGACGTCAACCCCATCATCTTTGAGCCATATGACGTGGTGTAAAAAACACTTGGATGCATACCTGTTGTGGTACTCTGCGTAGTCGTAGGTGTGGTTGTGCTAGTGGTTACCGTTGTTGTAGATGTAGTTCCCTCTGGGGTCGTTGACTTTGTAGTTGTCGGCATGGTCGTTGTTGTTGGCAGAGTCGTTGTCGATGTAGTAGTGGACGTGGTCTCTGGAGTAGTTGTCGTTGTAGGCATTGCAGTTGTCGTTACACTTGTGGTTGTTGTTGCTACAATTTGTTTACCACAGACATATGAATGCATGATACGAATGAAATAGTTGACATAATTATTTAGGCATGGCGCTCTATTATTTGGATATTATGGACATAATCGATTAAATAGAATGTATTGAATTCAATCTAAACGCATACCTGATGTGTAACAAGCCTCGATCACTACCTCATCAAGTTTAGGTTGGCCATAGGAGGTTGGTTCAAGGACTACCTTCACCTTCACTCCCATCGTACCGACCAGTGGTACATCTACCGTCTTTGGATATGGTCCGGAAAGTGACACCTATTAACAACAACAACATTGAACGTCATTATCATATACTGGCGATTATTCGACTGCATATGATATCACTAAAGTTTTGAATTTAGACAATTCATCGACAACATTGGCGTGTTTACCTGCTTTGGATTGATAGGCGCAACGGCATTGTTGTTCTCGTCAAGAACAAACACTTTGATAGTCATCACGTTCCATACTTTCGCAGCAAATCGGACGAATTTAACCTCCTCATTGATTGCCTTGATCATATATGTTATTGATGGATTTAGAACGCCCGAATTTGGAACAAATGCTACTTCCAGACCATTACCATTTCCATCTTTAGTGTTAGAAACCACATCGACAGTGTTGTCTTCAGATATCATTTGGATGTCACATTCTGAAAACAATAGCATATGCTTAATATAAACGAGAACATTTATTTCGCAAATATACTACAATGCTTTTAACAATCTTCAGGAATGAAACTCATTTGATAGATTAAACACATCTTATACCAAAAACTCATCGATAGGTATAAATACATATTTCCTTTAGATTACAACAAGTCAGCTCTCATCCTGATATATACGTATCGCAGATTTGCGTTTAAATACAAAACCGCATAGATCAGTTTCACTAATTTCTCATCAGGTGTTTCAATTGTATTTGACATAGAACAGATGTGCGATATAGAAGTAATGATACCATACAACTATTCAGCACGGATTTGAATGATAGTGTAATGACGTCAACCCCATCATCTTTGAGCCATATGACGTGGTATAAAAAGTACTTGGATGCATACCTGTTGTTGTACTCTGCGTAGTCGTAGGTGTGGTTGTGCTAGTGGTTACCGTTGTTGTAGATGTAGTTCCCTCTGGGGTCGTTGACTCTGTAGTTGTCGGCATGGTCGTTGTTGTTGGCAGAGTCGTCGGTGAAAATGAGAGTGTTGAGGAAACTGCAATTATGAATTAGCAGAAGCATATCGGATGGGCATATGCTTTTTGTTTTGCATACCTTTGCACTTCAGTTGTTCGTCTGTAACTCAAGCATTGCGCATGTTTCACGAAATGCTATGCACAGCCGTATAAAAAGCAACACAAACGACTCGAAGACTGTTTGGAAACACTTAGAGGTGCTAATAACATTTGTCAAATGTTTTGGTGTACAAATGCAGGATTTTATTAATAATGATGGATAGTTGTTATAGGAAATCATGCGATTGCACTGTGTGTAATAAAAAGAATGCTCGAAGTGTAACACAAATAATGCAAATCTTTCACCCTTTAAAACGATCTAGTCGGAATTACATGGGTTATCAATATTTGAAATGGTAAGATGCATGTTGTTATAAAATGAAGTATCATGATCGGATTTTACCATGGATATATATTGTGATATATCAGAGTTGATAATGTTTTGGTAAATCAGAGTAACTATTGGTGCACTCTCATATAAAAAGAAACCACAAGCACCGAACAAAACTAACTTTTAAAAAATCACACACAAAAATGCAAAAGTTCTTTATCACATTAAACCGACGATTAAAACACTGCCAAATTAGTATGCTCCATGGTCTCTCTCTCTCTCTCTCTCTCTCTCTCTCTCTCTCTCTCTCTCTCTCTCTCTCTCTCTCTCTCTGTGTGTGTGTGTGTGTTTATGTGCGTTTGTGTGTGTGTATGCCTTCATCATTCAATTAATTTCATTCATCGTTTACTGATCAAACGATCTTTTATTGGTTGATAGTTGTATATAACAATTCATGGAGCAAGAACAGCACTTGCAATGTTTGTCTCAGTGATTTTGCCATACTACCTTTTTATATCAGATGTTATACTTACAAGGTGTTATGTTGCGCCTAATATATCAGTACTTCAGTTTTCTGTTATCCCTTACTAATATTCTCTACACATAAAAATATAATCACAGAATCGTAATGAATTTTGGTTGCTATAATTAAAAGAAAAAAGAAAGAAAAAAAAAAAAAAAAACCGCATTTTCAGTTTCTTTGTGATATTGACACATCGAGCTCGATCTCATTATAGTAAAGGTAGTGCTGATGTAAAAAATATGCCTACCTACTATGGAATAATGCCATGTTCACAACCGTAAGGCGAAGATTAGGCGAAGAATAGGCAGAAATATTTCCTGGTGTTTTCAATGCATTATCCGGCGTAGAAACGTTCAATTCGTGGAAGTTGCCATGGTAGTCAGCACTAATACTTTGAGCTCGGTACATCGAATTTGCATAAACGCTGGTATTGTCGCACTCAAGATTGGGTTAAGAAAACAAACGTTCCAAACACAAACAAATTTTATCTTTTATCCCTAAAATATTTTTTGAATGCATACATAGTTTTTTTTCTTTCCTACCATACGTATATTTCTAAGCACGTTATATATAAAATGACAAAGAAATCGAATGTCAATAGGACTGTTTGGACAATGGTTTTGCTTTGTTCTGATTTTGACAAATACCTCGCATTCAATTTCCAGAATGTAATTTAGAATTTATTAAAAAGCAGTGCAAACAAAATTCCTATTGACATTGTAACCTAAGTATACATATTTATAAAAACTCCCAATTTCAAGTCAAGCTTGACCTACCCGAGGGTGTTGACGTAGGCTGGAAGGACGTAGTGGTAGTTTTACCTGCAAATGTACAGGCGAGTAATTTCTCAGGAACATGATTTACTATAGTCGGTCATATGTTTTATTTCATAACATGAAAATCGCGTGAACACTTGGTTTTGCCTTATATTGATCTATATCGCATTGACCATTAAACATTTTCCGCGTCAAAAATTACCTGGAGAACAGTTGCTTTCATCGGTCCTGTCGTCACAATCTTGTTTTCCATCGCAAATATTATCGACATTGACACATATTTGTTGGTTGTCGCAGTAAAATAGACATGAAGGCGAAGTTGCCACTGGCGAAGAATGACAAATTACGGGAAGTTTAAGTGGTTCTCGAGAAAAATTATCAAAATAAGTATAGCATAGAAAGTAGTGTGTAAGGATGCTTTTATGGAATGTATACATCCAGTGCTATTTTGTATCATCTGCTCTATTCTATCTGATTGCATTACAAACGTTAATGACATTAAGTCCATGGAAATTGGTAACTGAGCACAATACAATTGCAATCATCAGCAAGTAGATCATAATTATATGCCTAAAAATCACTGGTTTGACATAAAACCTTTAACTTTCAATATTTCAATTACTTTTCATGCATTTGAGAGGATTAACATTGAGCTGGGCGCGCGAATACATTCTTTAGAGATTATGTAAAGGGACAGAACTTTTTCATATGTTTGATGCTAAACTTTAAATTAAATTAATACAATTTGCTCCAAATTTCAAAATACAAACTGATAAAGATATTTAATATAGGTAGCATCAATTAGATCTGTCTTAAGATCAACTAAATTCAACACCCTATCA